CAACCACTTCCGAACTAAAGTTAACCGGTTCTACTTGTTACAGTAGTGCAGTTACGATGTAACACACTAACTTAGCGCTTTTTTCCGTTTCAAAAAATATCGATATCTCAAAAATCGCGACTTGTGGGGGGATCAAAATATCGCTATTTTGACCCTAAAAACCGGTCTGTTTTCGTTGTTTTTCACTGAAAAACGATATGTGACTATTAATATAGGCTATATGAATAATAATATTAGTAATACTATACCCCTCCGGGTTTGTTTAATCTCCGAATTAAGGTGCTTAACTCGGATATTCGCAGTTCGGTGAAGGGTCACTACAGTGCAGCACTGTCGAGCCCCCCACAGATTACTATCCTACTTTTTGTACCAAAAGGGATACAAAACTTGTTAACGATACCCAACAGTCGATTGTAGTTGTCGTTGAGCCTCTTCCTGTTGTTCCCTGTACTGCTTGCCGGATCGGTCTTCACCCCGGACCCTTCCGAATTGAGCGCAAATCAGCTGACCCTTCCGGATTGGGCGCAATTTATCATTAACGTGCTTAAATGCTCAAATAACCCTACAGTACAAGCCTCACAAACGGGCCACAAAAATGATCGTGACGATCCTGACTGATATAAATGCCTGTAACAACAATATATCTATCAACAACAAACGGGGGGGTTGAATCACATCTTGTCTGGGGGAATGATTTCTACTGATTTTTTACTTTTTTACTGTTTTTGGTTTTTTCGGTTATTTTTTTATGTTTTTTGTTTTTCTTGGGTACTATACTACTTTTTGTTTGGTTTTGCTTATATCTTTAAGTGTTTTTGGTCACAAACCACTCAGGGGACGAGGGGACGGCCGATCCCCCCACCCTTCCTGGTTTGTGAATTTTCGGTCTTAACTAGGTTAAAAAACTATTCACGGCAATCCGGAAGGCCTCCGCGTTCCGAACTACCCTTCCGCCCCGGCGGTTTAGGCCTAATAAGGGCGTTAATGTGAGCATCCGCTCGGCGCGGAATGCTCGTTAACGGTTCCGCCGGTCATGATGTTAAAAAAGAATAACACCCAGGAGCGCCATAAAAACATACATGTAACATTCGCCCGGAAGATACATATCGACGGATAACAAAACTAAGTCTTAAGACGACTGGCTAGCGTCTAAACAGAGCTTTGCATGTTTTTCACCGTCTCTACCAAGCCAGTACTTTTCGGTGGTCTTTCTTACATCAGGCTGACAAAAACGTTACTGTTCTCCGGCTTCGACCAGAACGCTCAAATTAACTGAATTACATGCAAAGTTAGTGAGCTCATGGCTGGGTCTCAGTATCCCCAGACCACGAGGTCACTCCTAAAAACAGGGCTACTACTTATCATATTACTATTGTTTTTGTTCAGTAGATAAAAATCATCATCTCCATCGAAGACGGATCAACCCTTTCCCCCCTACTTCTAGCTCCTCATTCTTGTCAAAACGAATTAAGATCTTAATTAAATTCAAGTCAGGACATGACGGATGCTAAAATTCAATATAAGTTCATAAAAGTCCACGTCCCGAGACCCTTCCGGATTCTTGAATCCGGTGAATCAAGCTTCTTAATATCCAGTTCACAATAACTCGGAAGGCTGGGTTTTACCCTTCACCGTTACTCGCAACGGCCTTGCAACTATTGTAACAGCACAATAGTTGCAACTCGGAACGTCCTCTGCTGTTCGGTAGTTCGTTGTTGTTTTTTAGTCTCGATTTCGTACTGTTCGTAATCGCAGATAAAGTTGTTCTGTTCTTTCTGCTATTTTTTGCTAAAATGGCCGTCTCTGACGTTTCTCAGAAATATGACGTCATAATTCGAATTTTTAAAAACTAGAATTCCAGAATCTTCTAGCCTTCACCGTTTGGCTAATCGTTCAAATAACGTCCTTATCCGTTCTAAATCGCCAATTCGGAAGGCTTGCTGCTAAAATACCGAATTCTGCAGAGACTGCATTTTGGCCATTCTGGTCGAATGTCACATAGGTTTCGGGACTGGAACTTTTAGCCTTTTATATAAACTTTTAGCTTCTTGTCATGTCCTGAATTGAATTTAATTAACAACTGGATTCATTTTGATAAGGATGAGAAGCTAGGAGTTGGGGGAAAGGGTTGATCCATCTTCGATGGAGATGATGATTTTTATCTACTGAACAAAAACAATAGTAATATGATAAGTAGTAGCCCTGTTTTTAGGAGTGACCTCGTGGTCTGGGGATACAGAGACCCAGCCATGAGCTCACTATTTTTGCATGTAATTCAGTTAATTTGAGCGTTCTGGTCGAAGCCGGAGAGCAGTAACGTTTTTGTCGACCCGATGTAAGAAAGACCACCGAAAAGTACTGGCTTAGTAGAGACGGTGAAAAACATGCAAAGCTCTGTTTAGACGCTAGCCAGTCGTCTTAGGACTTAGTTTTGTTATCCGTCGATATGTATCTTCCGGGCGAATGTTACACTTTGTCTGGGATTCACCATGTTTCTGCGAAACTTGGTAAAGTCTCAAAGTGTTTTCATTATTTGAAGCGTAATGTTCCTTTTAACTCACCTGTTAAAACTAAGCTTCAAATTTGAATTTCTTGTGTGAGGTCCATTTTACTTAATAACTCTTGTATTTGGTACCCAAATTTATCAAAGCTACGTGATTTGGAAAAATTCCAGAAAAAGGCAGTAAAGTTGATAATTGGTTCCACTAATTATACTGACAGTCTTGTGATGTTAAACATACTGCCTATTTGCTATCAAATTATTTTTACTGATTGTCTTCTCTTCTTCAAACTGTTACATAACTGTTACGACTTCGATATTAACGACTATGTTACTGTTAGTGAATCGAGACCGGGTAACAGATCCAGTCAGAGAATGGTATTCTATGTACCTCTTACCCGCAAATTCTGTTCCCTTGGGAGCTTTTTCCAAAGAACAATTCATAGCGTCAATAGTGTTTAAGCAAAAATCGACATCGACTCTACTCTTCAATTTTCTTAAACAGCAACTTCAATCAACCTTCAATCTCGACAATCCATGCACTTTCTTCATCAAATGCCGTTGCAACCCATGTCGTTCCTGAACATTAACAATTTAACTCAAAGCTTGAATTACGCAAACTCAAAGTTTCACTTTTATATGTAGTATCATTCACTAATAAAGTTCATTTTTTCTTCTTCTCTCTTCAGAAGGCACGTTTGAACCCTCTGAGCACGTTATCGAGAGAATAGAGAAGAGGGTCAGAAAATTAAGTAAAATTTAGAAAATTTCAATTTACGAGCTAGAATTTCGGTGAAAGACCGAAATCGCCATGTTGGACAAAAAGAATAACGCAAGCAAAGAACATCCGAACACGACACGAGGGACAGTCAATTGAGATTTTGCAAAAAAGAAGCTTCCAGACGCGACACGCTCGTGGGATACTTTCGTTATTTCCCGAATTGTGTGGAGCCGGAAGGTTAAGTGGCAGATTTGTGACCGATCCGAACCTCAAAGAAACCAGAATTAGAAAGAACAACGACGTTATCTCTCGGGAATTTCTGAGTTGGAGGATGAGTGCCCGTTGACTTCTTAACAGCTTATTACTCGTTTTATTACTCTAAGTCCCTGAACGGTTGTTTTCTATTGTTTTTTTTTAGACCACGAGTAGTCCAGGGCGAGGAAAGAGTCAATCAAGCTCATGGATCCGATGAGGGCTATTCTCATGCGTGAAGGACCGAATGCGCGAAAAAACTCGTGAGCGAATGACCGAAAATAAAATTAGCCAAAAGTCAAATTTTAAAAAGAAGCAATTGCCATTCAATTAAATGAAGCTATGTTTCGCTTCTTTAATAACGAAACTGTTGAAATATAAAATTTGTTCCAATTCGGCGGCGTCAAAGACAATTTGGAAATTTTCCATATTTCTGCTGTTCTTTTATCCGGCCAATATCAATATTCTAGTACCTGGAAATGTTTACTATCTTTGCAGTTTTTAGATTACTGAAATCTGATTTGCTGATTGGCTAAGAAACTATAATAATGGATTTTTAGTACCATTTTTAGCTGCAACTGCATTGTCTGGGGATCGGAGATTATTTGTGGTTATTATATATGTGGTTATTATTTGCATGTAATCGAAAGCTAAGTAAGAATCGTTCGGCTGATGGCCTAAAAGTCGTAACACGTTCGTTGACCCTTACACAACAAAAGTTCCACTGGCTAGGTCGAGAAAGTGAAAAACACGTTGAGTTAAGCTATCTGACGTCAGCCAGTCGTCAAAAAAGAACTTTTTCTCTTTTCTGTCGTTGTGTAGGTTTTGGGCGAATATTACATGTTCCATCGCTGAAAAAATTTTTGCAACAAATTGCTTCTGGTATTTTTTAAAATATTTTCGGCTCAATTAGTGTCTTCTCATGTATTGTGGGCTGAGTGGTTGCTCGGATATTATAAAAAGCTTATTTGATGCTGGTTGTTGGTTTTCTCGATAGTTCTGCAATTGATATTTTTTTAAAAAATGTTTTATTTATTTCAATGATTTTTTTCTTAGTTATTTTCAGCTCTTTTTCTGTTCGATAGCTTGCAATGCTATGCTTGCATTTTGTAACAGGTGATAGGAATCTTCACTTCGCTTCTGTGTCGACCGAACTATATATGATAAAGGTATGTTTTTACCGGCTTGTTTTTCTGATGAAGGCTGTTTTTCACAGAAGGCTGTTGATATGTGTTATCTATTTGATTTCAGAGATCTGAATATACAAGCTTTTGGAAATTCACCATCCCATAGAATGCATTTTCAGAAGCAACTTAATTTCATCTCAAGGGTGATGCTTTGATATTTAACAAAAAAAAAGAAAATTAAAATTCAAGATGACACACTACTTTTAGTTGCACATGACGCCAACCAGTAGTGGTGGACTAGAAGAATTGTCATGGTTCAAGCAAACACAACCCCGGAACAGAAATCCCGTGACAGACAAATATTTTGTGGGATTTTTTAAACCGCTCATGTTTTTTGTTCTCAAATTGGCTTAAAGATTGTTAATCTAATATTTGTTAGTCGCAAATATTGGGGCACCTTTACAGCTTTTTGGTAGCATTTGCTTTTTGATGGAAAGTGATTTTCCAACTCAAAGAATCTCGCAATTTTTTTATACATAATTTTATACATAAAGCTTATTTTATACATAATTTGGCTTAATGCTTTCCAATTTAGTATTTGCACAATTGTGTCTTTTTGTAATTGGAGCTACTTTTGCTGCATCGAATTGGCAATATAATGTAGCTGCGTTATTGGTGGCTAGTTTTTGGGACTTTGAAGCATCCATGGCTGAGTGGTTAGTGCGTGAGATTCAAATTTGCTAGGTCATAGAGTCGAATCCGACATGAAGCCGAGTTTTTGCTAATTCGTGGCTTATTTCTACTTTTTTTTGTTTTATTTGATAGAGCTGGTTTTTGGTCGCGCTCTAGCAAGTGTTTGCGAAGCCCAGCTTGGCTTCTGTCTTAAATCTGAAGTTGACTTCTCAATCAAAGTTTTAAAACTCGGCAAAGGCTACAGTTTTTGTTAGCCCGGTGTCGGGTTATGCTCGTCTGTCGCCAGCTCTATAAACTTCGCGGCATCAACGAGTAGTTGAAAAGAAGTTCAGTGGTTTCTTCTTTGGAGCATTTAAGTATTGATAGGCGTATTTGGCGAGGGGAAGGGGATGATTGTGGAAAAAACTGTTAGTGTAATAGTAACGGAGATTAAAAAAACAGAAGTTAAAGGAGTGGTTGTTTTTATCGTTGTTTCAATCTTTTATGGGTCTAACAAGGGCTTTTTAAGTTTCTTTGTTTTGACGCCAGGTTGAAACTACTATGGTTGTCAGGACTCTGCGCCTGGCCTTGTCAGCGGACTTTTTGCAGTGTTTAGAGTCAGCTCAAGTTACACCCAGAAATTATGGGCTTTTGCTCAGCGGGATATGCTCATTGTTCGAAATTACTTTAGGTGCTTTATTAAAGTCTGTTTGGTAAGACGAAAAAAGATATACTGATCCTTCAGAGGGCAAAATTTAATTTTTGAGAAGTAAAAATGTGTTATAGATTTTTTTACGTAGCCATTTATTGAGTTTGATGCTTTTCGATATCAGTTCTCCGGAGAAAGAATTGAAATCGTCCGCATATGAGGTGTGCTGTTCATTCTCTGCGGTTATAGGGGCAATATTCTATGGGGGATGACTATTCGCAAAAGCAATTGGTGGCTTGACGCCCATTTAAATAATTTCTAAGGTAGCGCCATCAGGTGTCTTGAGAGAGGTCTGTCATAAACGTGTATGCCAGGTCACAGCATATCGAAAGCTTTTGAAAGGTCTGGTGTAGCAAGGATTGCGTGAGGGGGCATTTCTGATTAAAACGTCTGTAACTTGAAGGTCAAGGGTTGACAGTTCATTGATGGTGGAGTGAAAAGAGCGAAAATTGTGCTGGGCTATAAAGTGATTTAGGCTTGTATGATGTTGACAGCTTTAAGTATATCCGGTTTGGCAAGGGTTTTATTTTCAAGTTTTAGTTTATAATTATTCGAGGGATTATGTTCTCAGACAGCAAGTAATTAAAAAGAAAAGTTAAATAGAGCAAGATTAGAGGACCGAGGTCCTTGAGTGAATATGACATCAGTCATCTGGGAAAAGTGGTTGGGAAGGTTGCTGTCAGCGATGGCTTGTTTAGTCTTTTGTGAAGAAAAATTAGGAACGTAGAAAGAGGGAGCTTGGATCTTTTGCGTCTCTTTGTACGACACTGATGGACTTCGAGTCCAATCAAATTGGCTGCTTACCTTCCACAGGCCTGAATCCGTCTAGAATTTTCTGGCGCCAGTGCGATGATCACAATTTGGGACGAATTGACGCCATTTATTTTCTTTGTCTTTTGCTGTATGTTCTAAAAGTCTTCCATTGAGTTAGTATGCTTGTTACAGTCTGTGCGATGGTGAGAAACGGTTTAAAAAATTTTCTGACGCGAGAATGGAAGATTACTCAGAGAGAGCGAGAGAGCGAGAGCGAGAGAGAGAGAGAGAGAGAGAGAGAGAGAGAGAGAGAGAGAGGGAGAGGAGAGGAGATAGAGTCGAATCCTAGATTTGCTAGGTCATAGAGTCGAATCCGACATGAAGCCGAGTTTTTGCTAATTCGTGGCTTATTTCTACTTTTTTTTGTTTTATTTGATAGAGCTGGTTTTTGGTCGCGCTCTAGCAAGTGTTTGCGAAGCCCAGCTTGGCTTCTGTCTTAAATCTGAAGTTGACTTCTCAATCAAAGTTTTAAAACTCGGCAAAGGCTACAGTTTTTGTTAGCCCGGTGTCGGGTTATGCTCGTCTGTCGCCAGCTCTATAAACTTCGCGGCATCAACGAGTAGTTGAAAAGAAGTTCAGTGGTTTCTTCTTTGGAGCATTTAAGTATTGATAGGCGTATTTGGCGAGGGGAAGGGGATGATTGTGGAAAAAACTGTTAGTGTAATAGTAACGGAGATTAAAAAAACAGAAGTTAAAGGAGTGGTTGTTTTTATCGTTGTTTCAATCTTTTATGGGTCTAACAAGGGCTTTTTAAGTTTCTTTGTTTTGACGCCAGGTTGAAACTACTAAGGTTGTCAGGACTCTGCGCCTGGCCTTGTCAGCGGACTTTTTGCAGTGTTTAGAGTCAGCTCAAGTTACACCCAGAAATTATGGGCTTTTGCTCAGCGGGATATGCTCATTGTTCGAAATTACTTTAGGTGCTTTATTAAAGTCTGTTTGGTAAGACGAAAAAAGATATACTGATCCTTCAGAGGGCAAAATTTAATTTTTGAGAAGTAAAAATGTGTTATAGATTTTTTTACGTAGCCATTTATTGAGTTTGATGCTTTTCGATATCAGTTCTCCGGAGAAAGAATTGAAATCGTCCGCATATGAGGTGTGCTGTTCATTCTCTGCGGTTATAGGGGCAATATTCTATGGGGGATGACTATTCGCAAAAGCAATTGGTGGCTTGACGCCCATTTAAATAATTTCTAAGGTAGCGCCATCAGGTGTCTTGAGAGAGGTCTGTCATAAACGTGTATGCCAGGTCACAGCATATCGAAAGCCTTTGAAAGGTCTGGTGTAGCAAGGATTGCGTGAGGGGGCATTTCTGATTAAAACGTCTGTAACTTGAAGGTCAAGGGTTGACAGTTCATTGATGGTGGAGTGAAAAGAGCGAAAATTGTGCTGGGCTATAAAGTGATTTAGGCTTGTATGATGTTGACAGCTTTAAGTATATCCGGTTTGGCAAGGGTTTTATTTTCAAGTTTTAGTTTATAATTATTCGAGGGATTATGTTCTCAGACAGCAAGTAATTAAAAAGAAAAGTTAAATAGAGCAAGATTAGAGGACCGAGGTCCTTGAGTGAATATGACATCAGTCATCTGGGAAAAGTGGTTGGGAAGGTTGCTGTCAGCGATGGCTTGTTTAGTCTTTTGTGAAAAAAAATTAGGAACGTAGAAAGAGGGAGCTTGGATCTTTTGCGTCTCTTTGTACGACACTGATGGACTTCGAGTCCAATCAAATTGGCTGCTTACCTTCCACAGGCCTGAATCCGTCTAGAATTTTCTGGCGCCAGTGCGATGATCACAATTTGGGACGAATTGACGCCATTTATTTTCTTTGTCTTTTGCTGTATGTTCTAAAAGTCTTCCATTGAGTTAGTATGCTTGTTACAGTCTGTGCGATGGTGAGAAACGGTTTAAAAAATTTTCTGACGCGAGAATGGAAGATTACTCAGAGAGAGCGAGAGAGCGAGAGCGAGAGCGAGAGAGAGGGAGAGGAGAGGAGAGGAGAGGAGAGGAGAGGAGATAGAGTCGAATCCTAGATTTGCTAGGTCATAGAGTCGAATCCGACATGAAGCCGAGTTTTTGCTAATTCGTGGCTTATTTCTACTTTTTTTTTGTTTTATTTGATAGAGCTGGTTTTTGGTCGTGCTCTAGCAAGTGTTTGCGAAGCCCAGCTTGGCTTCTGTCTTAAATCTGAAGTTGACTTCTCAATCAAAGTTTTAAAACTCGGCAAAGGCTACAGTTTTTGTTAGCCCGGTGTCGGGTTATGCTCGTCTGTCGCCAGCTCTATAAACTTCGCGGCATCAACGAGTTGTTGAAAAGAAGTTCAGTGGTTTCTTCTTTGGAGCATTTAAGTATTGATAGGCGTATTTGGCGAGGGGAAGGGGATGATTGTGGAAAAAACTGTTAGTGTAATAGTAACGGAGATTAAAAAAACTGAGAAGTTAAAGGAGTGGTTGTTTTTATCGTTGTTTCAATCTTTTATGGGTCTAACAAGGGCTTTTTAAGTTTCTTTGTTTTGACGCCAGGTTGAAACTACTAAGGTTGTCAGGACTCTGCGCCTGGCCTTGTCAGCGGACTTTTTGCAGTGTTTAGAGTCAGCTCAAGTTACACCCAGAAATTATGGGCTTTTGCTCAGCGGGATATGCTCATTGTTCGAAATTACTTTAGGTGCTTTATTAAAGTCTGTTTGGTAAGACGAAAAAAGATATACTGATCCTTCAGAGGGCAAAATTTAATTTTTGAGAAGTAAAAATGTGTTATAGATTTTTTTACGTAGCCATTTATTGAGTTTGATGCTTTTCGATATCAGTTCTCCGGAGAAAGAATTGAAATCGTCCGCATATGAGGTGTGCTGTTCATTCTCTGCGGTTATAGGGGCAATATTCTATGGGGGATGACTATTCGCAAAAGCAATTGGTGGCTTGACGCCCATTTAAATAATTTCTAAGGTAGCGCCATCAGGTGTCTTGAGAGAGGTCTGTCATAAACGTGTATGCCAGGTCACAGCATATCGAAAGCCTTTGAAAGGTCTGGTGTAGCAAGGATTGCGTGAGGGGGCATTTCTGATTAAAACGTCTGTAACTTGAAGGTCAAGGGTTGACAGTTCATTGATGGTGGAGTGAAAAGAGCGAAAATTGTGCTGGGCTATAAAGTGATTTAGGCTTGTATGATGTTGACAGCTTTAAGTATATCCGGTTTGGCAAGGGTTTTATTTTCAAGTTTTAGTTTATAATTATTCGAGGGATTATGTTCTCAGACAGCAAGTAATTAAAAAGAAAAGTTAAATAGAGCAAGATTAGAGGACCGAGGTCCTTGAGTGAATATGACATCAGTCATCTGGGAAAAGTGGTTGGGAAGGTTGCTGTCAGCGATGGCTTGTTTAGTCTTTTGTGAAAAAAAATTAGGAACGTAGAAAGAGGGAGCTTGGATCTTTTGCGTCTCTTTGTACGACACTGATGGACTTCGAGTCCAATCAAATTGGCTGCTTACCTTCCACAGGCCTGAATCCGTCTAGAATTTTCTGGCGCCAGTGCGATGATCACAATTTGGGACGAATTGACGCCATTTATTTTCTTTGTCTTTTGCTGTATGTTCTAAAAGTCTTCCATTGAGTTAGTATGCTTGTTACAGTCTGTGCGATGGTGAGAAACGGTTAAAAAAATTTTCTGACGCGAGAATGGAAGATTACTCAGAGAGAGCGAGAGAGCGAGAGCGAGAGCGAGAGCGAGAGCGAGAGAGAGAGAGAGAGAGAGAGAGAGGGAGAGGGAGAGGAGAGGAGAGGAGAGGAGAGAAGAGAAGAGAAGAGATATATATATATATACACAGGGGCAAAAAATTTGGGGGAGATATACAGACTTAATGGCTACCACTGAGATACATCTTACTTCCATAGATCTGTCACTAGTTATATTTAACTCTTATTGTCGGGATTTATAGATTGCTAGTAGTAAGTCACTACCTTCTTTAATCCTCTTGAAGGGCGGCGGTATAACTTTCGTTCTTCGCTAAAAAGGCAGAAGTTTTGGGCTCTTTCCCCAATTTTTTATTACAATTTAATTGCAAATTTCCTAGAAAGTCTTTGGCTGGGTTTTAAAAAGTTTTGATCCGAAGGTTGAAAGTTTTGGGAGTTGGATGGTGGTTGGTGGGATGATTGAAAGTTAGGGGTGATTTGAGGGGCAGTTTGGAGAAAGGAGTGTTAGTTAGTCAAGTTCGGTATGTTAGGAGTTTGGGGATTAAGTGGAGGGGTTTTGATTCCGTGGGGTTTTAAAATATAGTTAACAGTGCACGAGGGTTAAAAGAAATTGTAAGGCCACTGCATTTAAAATGTATCCTGCCACATACGTGGTACCTCACGCTGGCTTGGGTTCACTTGATGGGAAATTTACCAGGGGAACTTTTATACGGATCTGGGTTGGAATTTATGCCTGAGCGGAGTATTAGTATGAGGATGAGCAGACAACACAGCCTTGCCGGCTTCAGACGCTCCGTAACCGAAAACTAGGGAGACCTCTGAGCTCGACGCCATTTGCATCCTTGCGAACCAGGAGTCGGATCCACCACGTGAAGGCGGCGTCGTTTGGATCCTAATTGCTACAGTGAAACGTTTCCTGTGTGATATCGTATATAGACATTAAATCCTAGGTCATGTATATCCCTTTAAAACAGACTGAAATCTAGAACCATCTGAAATTGCCCATGTTTTTTTGGCTATTGGGATAATCGCTTCTCTTTAAGCGGCGGTGAAATACATTGCACTTCGTTCTTCCGCTGTTATCTTTTTTATTTCAATGCCTCTGCGCTAAAAAAAAAAAGGAGCAAATAAAATAGATGCAGCAAACCTGCTTTGTTGATTGTTAAAATGGCTGCTATGCCAAGCCCAACCGCCATCCCTCATTGAATTTGCTCCTTTTATTGACTACAATCTCATTTGACTAAACCTCTCACCGTTTATAATCTGATATAGTAAAATTGAGAAAGTCCTTTTAGAAACATTCGGTTAATATCCAATTCCGCTGTTTACAATTTCTGTACGTTGTTCGTATTTTGAAAACGCTCAGCTTCGAAATTAGCTTGTTTGGTTGTGTAGACCTTAATACCATTCATTTAGTTAAAATTCCAAATGAACTCTTGAGACCTGAAACGATTTATTACTTTTCAGATAAGGATTTGACTTGTTTACAGTTACAATTTGGACAGAAGCAGATATCACACCAAGGTTCGGCCACCAAAGTGGAAATTTTCAAATTCGATTGTAGTGAAGTTAACTAGTTGGATTCATTTTGTTAATTACTAGTTTGCCCGATTATTTGCACTGATTCGCTTCCCATATGTCTTAATGTCACGAGTTCAATGCCGCTGAAGGAACCTTTATTTGTTGGTAAAGATGATTTGTAGGATCTATGTTTTCCTTTCTTAATTTACTTTTCAAAGTAACTCGTTTTAGCTATAGTCAATATCTACCAAATAGACTAAGCTCTGAAATTATATTGCAGTTTTATCAAATGATTAGCCTTGTTACACTACATCGTGCAATATTTAATCAAATTTGATAACGAATAGTGGAATCTAAATAGTCGTATGGACAACGAAAACCAAGTATCGGCAGAGCCAATACAGACTTATCTGAGCAATGGCGGAGATGAATTGTCTGCACCAGATATGGTTGTCAATTGGCATTCAGATGAAAAAATAGATGCCAAAATTACCAAATCAGGTACGGATTTAAAACTTTAAAATTGGGTGAAGCGAAGCAGCTGAATGTTCACGGAGGGACGGTAAGTAATTAATGGTATAATAAAAAATTCAGAAATATTGGAAGCTTTGCGCTTATTTATGGGGCAAACAGTGGCGTTTTGTCATTTTTACGTGTTGCAATATATTACAAAATTTTGTTGGGACATCAAATGAGCATTTTTGCGTCAATTAAGTGCGGTTCAGGCCCTTTAAAGGAAAAGAAATTGCCAAAACAAAATAGCAAATTAGCAATCAAGTATATATGAGTCAAATCTCATGTAATGAATGAGAAATTCATGTTTCGTTTACTGATTTAGAAAACGCTTCTTCCGAAATAGCAGACTCAGTTGTGATTTCCGAAACGGCAAACCATAAAAACGGTGAGCCAACAGAAAACAGTTATGTCGAATCAAAGCCGAATGGGAGACACTCGCCCGAAGATCAGCCAGATTCAGCAATGACGTCTGAATCGTTGCAAAAACCAGATAACCAGCCTTTTGCAGTCCAGATGACCACTTCCACTACGACCAAAGTCACTGTTACACAAGCTGATTCGAATGAAGAGCCTAAGGTTACTTCTTGTTTTTATTGCAGATAAAGCTACAATGTAAACGATCAGCCGGTTGCTGTGAAGCGCAGAAATGTTCGACCACACCAGTTTATTTTAGCGTAAGCTTCGAGAACTAGTGGAAATAATCTCTTAAGAGTTATGAACACAGTATTCTTCTATTGGTGTTGGTGATTTGTTATTTAAAGAATCATGAACGTAGTGAATAATCTTATATAGTTCTTGATGATTTTCTAGTTTTCTTAGGAAAAAAAATTGTCAACGCTATATTCGGATTTTTCGCGGTTTGACTTTTGATTTCTTCTCAAGTACACTTCATACCCTTTGGTAAAAGGAAGGCAAACTCCACTGTTGAACAGCGAATTTAAAAAGTCACGAAAAACTTTATATATACATACATAGCAACATATCTAATTACAAAGATACTTACAAACATACATTGATACATACCTAAACAAATACATACACACATATAGACATACATACATGATGTACATAAACTTACATACATACATAGATACGCACGTACATATATACCTACATCCATACACACATTTAACATACATACATGCATATATAGATACATACATGCACACACACACACATATATATATACATACAAACAAACATACATACAAACCTATATACAAACTAACACATATACATACATATATACAGATATACATGCATACTTGCATTCATTCATACATATATGAAACTGTTTACTTGCGTTAGTTTACTTTTTTTCCAAATGTTTGTTGGCTATATTTGAGATATGCAGGTTTTCTGTGAGCAAAAATGGTAGCCTGTTACGATTTTTTGCATGCCTGTTCACGATTTTTGTTATGTTTCACTTATGACCTTCTCAATTATGTGTTTAAAATTTTAACGTTCGCATGCAATGATTTTGGTTGATAAAGTCAATTAACAAAATACAGACACACGTTTTAAGGATCTGGGTATTTGCAGGAGAAATTTTTTTCATTTTGTTCACGCTCAAATTTATTACTTTGCGGTTTGACTGATTTATTTTAGATCAATTATAAATGCATTTGCTAAATGAAGGTATATAACGCTGTTCAAAAACAAAATGCAAATGGCGCGAACAGACGTAAATGGATTTTCAAATGGAACAAAAAGAATTATCTATTGTTTAAGTTTATGAAAAAGAGCAAATCTTCGAAAAGTTTCTGGAAATTCACAGGAGAGCTTGTGTGATTTTTTAAATTTCTGAAGCTGAAAAATGTTGTAATGTTCCGACCATTTGAAAAATGGGGAAGAAATTTGTGTTCGGTTGTATATTAGTTTTATTCTTTTTTTTTGTTTTCCACGCAAAATCCGCCACCACAAACAATCATCGGAGAGTTGATTGATACATCATATTAAAAAACTTTAAATCGGGAATCGAACAACGATAAAACAAATTTAGAAAAAACCAGTTTTCGGAATCAAAAACTTTAAAAATTCATAGTTTCTGCAAAAAATGAAAAACTGTTTCTGCAAAAAAAACGAAAAACTTTTTATAGATGGATACATAGATAGATACATACCTAAATACATACATACATACAAAGATACATAACTAAATACATACATACATACATACATACATACATACATGCATATAAACTTACTTACATCCGTACATACATTGATACATACACACATTTTACTTACATATATAGATACATCCATACATACATGCATACACATACATACCGATATACATACATGCATACTCACACAATTTTTTATATATATGCATACAGACATACATACATATACTTAATTTTATTTTTTCCAAATGTTTGTTGGCTTTAATTGAGTTGCGCAGGTTTTCTGTGAGCAAAAATTGTAGCCTGTTACAATTTTTTGCAAGCCTGTTCACAGTTTTTGGTATGATTTACTTATGATATCTCAATTTAGTGTTTAAATTTTTAACGGTCTCATGCAATGAATGGTTTTGGTTGATAAAGTGTCAATGAACAAAATATAGACAAAGATATTGATAAAGATTTGGGTTTTTGCAAGAGAAAGTCTTTTCATTTTGTTCCTATTTATTTTTTTTGCGGTTTGACTGATTTTTTTAGATCAATTATAAATGCATTTGCTAAATTAAGGCACATAACGCTGTTCAAAAGCAAAATGCAAATGACGCAAAAAGACGTAAAGTGACTATTGTTTACGTTTATAAAAAAGAGCAAATCTCCGAAGTTTCTTGAATTTCACAGAAAAGCTTGTTTTTTTAAATTCTAAAGATGAAAATTGTTTTCTTGTTCCGACCATTTGAAAAATGGGAAAGAACTTTGTGTTCAGGTGTATTTAAGTTTTAATCTTTTTTTATTTCACACGCAAAATCAGCTACCTTAAACAATCATCGGCGAGAGTTGGTTGATATATCATATTAAAGCCCTTTCAATCGGGATTCGAACGACGATAGTAAATTTTGAAAACTGGTTTGAATTTTTTTTTATTTTTTGTCTAAATTCGAGCTGGTAAAGCCAGCTAGCACGCTTTTGTTGGCCTAGTTTGGGCAATTTACAATAGGTTATTTACACTTACGACCAGCTTACTGTATTATTACGAACCTTTTTTCTAACCTAACGCGCAAATAAAAGTGTTCAATTATGGAATTTTCACTGAAGCATTGGAGATTGCATAGCATCTCTGCTGTATTTGTGGTTAGCTTTTTGAGATTAAACTGCCGTTTTGGTAATCAAAAAATTCAAAAGTTTCTGCAAAAAGATAAAATGATAAAAGAATTAGTTTTTGCTTGATTTTTGTTTGTTTTTCTAGTCATTTTTCTTCACAAACTCTTGGTTTGCCTATTTTACTATGACTGTCGAATGTGCCTAAATTATTAATTACGTCAGATCATTTTATGTCACCACGCAGAAAAAAAATTACACTAATTTAAAAAAAAATGTTGTAGTTTTTTCAAAGAATTTGGTTCTATAGAATAATCTGTTCTACTTGCACAGTAACCGGCTATTCTTGTTGATTTCTAGCTTTTTTTGGTTTCCTAGACTTCAGTGAATTTTTTCCAATTTTCTGTTGGTTAGTTTATAAACATTGCTATTACTTGTTAAAACTTCTGGCTTGTTTTTTTTTTCGTAAAGGTTTGCGAAAGGTTCTTCCGGGTCTGTGTCTGCTAAACTGGTGCTATTAAGAGTAATGAACGTAGTGAAGACTCATATATAGGTCTTGCTGATTTGTTTGTTTTTTTCAGGAAAAAGTCTTTAAATATTGATGCACTTAGTTATAATGCACTTTTTGAGTTCCATTGAAATTCATCTGCTGAAAGTGATGTAAATTGCACTCTCCAAATACGAACATGCAAATGACGCAAAAAAAACGTGGACGATTTTTAGTTTCCAAAGTGGATTTTAAATTTTAGATTTCCAGCGGAATAAAAAATTTACCTGTTGGTTGATCCAGTTTTCTCTAGTTGGGCTTATGTTATCAAAAAAGCGCCAATCTTAAAAAATCTTTTAAAAAATTTCAACTTCGAATTTCCAAGAAAAAAATAGACACCCTTTAAGCTCTTTGAATTTCTAGAACTAAGTCAGTGATTTTTTATGTTTACTTGCGTTCATTACTCTTTTCCATTGTCTATGTTTTTATTTGTAGGTTGAAGAAAAAGCTGAAACGAAGACAGAATACGTGACAGATGCATTGACTGTGAATGGGAGGATAAGGTCAGCTGGTGGGGATATAGAGGGGGAGAATGACGAAGAGGAGGAACCAGCAGTGGCTCTTTCCCAGGAGGAGGAACAGCTGCTGGAGAAGCTCAAATACCAGCCCTTTTCTGTCGCTCAGGTCAGATTATGAGCATTAGAACTATATGACATGAAATCTATAGTTAATGCTAAGTTTATTAACCAAATCGCTCATTTTGAAGTCAATTTTTAAGTCGAGATCAACTTTTAACTCATTTGAGCATGTACAAAACCCTGTCTAAAATCAAACTAGCCTAGAAAGGCCATTTTTTGACCGTTTAATTGCTCAAGGTCGACGATATTGCTAACAATTTGCATAAAAGTAGCTCAAAAGATATGTAATTTTTGTTCTTACAGGATATAGAGAACTTGACCCCAGAGCAGCGAGAAAAAATAAATATGTATCAGCGAAGAGAGAGTCTGGCCAGAGCGAACTCGCTCAAGCGCCAATCTCCTATTGGCAAGAGACCCAGTGATTCATCTCAAGGCCGTCGCAGCAGCGACTTTGCAGCGGCCAACGGAGAACAAGTCTCAACCAGTATAGCCGAATCAAAACCAGCAGTCCAAACATCTCAATTTTTGGAGTCTAATGTCGGAACGACTATGCCAGTAGCGGAAATTCGAATTGCCGAGAAAGAGCAGAACGTTAAAGGAGAAGCAAAAGCAGACGATCCGAAGGTTGAAGCCGACAAGAAAGAGAACGAGCCTGCATCTGAACAGGAGAAAATAGATATAGATTCTGAAATGTATAAACAGATGAAGTTCTTCACGCCCAAGCCTTACCATGTGTCGCTGAGCACTGACAATTCCACCCATGATTTCAGGCCTCACAGCACATTAAGTAAGTAGTAGACGCTTATAATTTATCTGCGCCTAGAGAATTTATTTTTATGCTAATGAGCTAATGGAAATCATTTCTCTTTTATTCTTTACTATGCATTGAGCCGATTCAATCAGCTAGTTTTTCTTCTACTACGCCTTCATATCGAATTAAAAATCATTTAAATTTGGCAGAAACATTAATGCGAAGATTACTACTGAGCTTGAAATAAGTTTTTGACATAGATTTATTTAGGAAACGGGGAAATTATATCGATTGCACCGTCACAGAAAGCTGTTTCATTTTCTCAATGCGTAATGTCTTAAAAGGCTTGCTGGCATTAAACATCTGGAACTGTTCAAGGGAAATTGTTTCTTAATGTTTCCTGTTCTTCTTTTTACTTTTTTTTCAAATACTGGAAATTTCCCAAATTTTACAGCCGCCAGGTTTTGATGTGTAGATCTTGTAGGGAGATTTGAACGCCAATTTCAGTTCGAATTATCAATTTTTGTTGGTGACCAGTGATGTCCGATTTAAAAAAAAAACATTAAAGTTAATTTAATTTTTCATTTAAATTTTAATTTATTTAATTGTAAATTATGAGTCCAGTCAATTATAATGAAAAATTTTAATTTCAAGCGAGTAATTTAAATTTAAAAAAAAATCAAATTGTCTAACCAAACTACTCATTTTACTCATGTCAATTAAGTTTTCATTTCTGAGTTCTACGGAAAAAGCAAACAGCCTCCTGAGTCTTCACGACAAAATTACTAAATTTTTGTTGCAAATATACTTGCTCGATGAAATTGCTTTCAATTTTGTTCTAAGTTCCGAAATTTAAACAAAGTTGGTAAAAAAACTGCTGAAAAAGAGAATTCAGAAAAAAATAATAAAATTTTTATTTGAATATAATTTTTTTATGGACATAATTGTTGACGACCTTTGCTGAAAATGAAGTAATATTGTCGAACAAATTAATTCTTCTTATTCCAATCAACCGCCTGAGTCCAAGTGGACCGAATCTCTTCAATTGTCTTCTCCTTGTTTGTTCATTTCCATTTATCACTTGAGAGAGGTCAAATTAGATGACATTTGTGCGTGGGACTGCTGCTTTAAATATTCGCTATTAGCTCAAATAGACCAACACATTCTATTTCTTCCAGTATTTGATGCCGTATTAGTATTCTTTGAGGGAAATGTCTTTTTTTTCAGAGTTGCTAATTTTAGACCTTTCCTTTTGCCGATTAATGACGGAAATGGGAAATATAAGGAAACAACTTGGACTTTGCGCTTTTATTGCCAATTTAGATTTTAACGTTAAACCCGCTCTGTTGTATTAAGTTGTGATAAATAGGGAAAAAGTTCCCTCATGTCAATACTTCACATTAAATTGCTCTCTGAAAAGTTATTAAATTTTTATTTTTTTTTGTTTTGCTGCAGACTTTGCAAAAAATGTTTGTTGGTTTCGCAAAATGTTATCCATTCATGAAAAATTCAAACTGTTCCAACCACCGCTGGCGCGCAGTGAGTGCTTTCAATTGAATACACAGTTCATGTCATAGTTGGTTTGCAAAGAATGCTATATTGTTAAAATTGTTCCGCGCGAGTGCTCAAAAATGTCAAAGATTTCTTGTTTGGCTAATCCAATTCTGAAGAAAAAAGCATAATTTAACAACATGTTTATTGCCAGAAATTGATGTGAAGGGAAGTGAAGTAATTTGAGCGTTTTTTTTTTCTTATAAAGGAGACGATAAACATGTGCGATTTTGATGCGCTTTTTAGTGGAATTTAGACCGTTAGATATCCAGACCTGGAGCTGATTAATATTCTGAGTGGTGATGGTGTAAAAAGAAGCATATTCCCCAAGTGAAACTTGGCTAATGAATGCAATTGTTTTGTGTCCCAACTACAAATTGAGTTCATTCCCTGAGGGATGTCTAAACATGGAAATAGCAAAGTATGTTCAGAACCGTGTCGAATAGTTTATTTATGGTGTTATTACCCTGTTGATTTCATGAACTCAAAGCGATTTGAAGTGAAATTCAGAGATATGAATATTGATATGGAGATAGATACAATATAAAAAAATGTTGGCTGGGTCATTTCCCATTTGCGGATATCAATAATTTTACGGATATGAATGTGATGTAGTTGCAACTTATGGGCCATTTTTGTTAGATAACAATAGAAAAGTTGTTACTTCTGCCTCATTTCAGCCCCTAATATGAGCGAAGTGAGAAACCACCAACCTCAGCGATACTCCACTTTACCATCTACCAACTACAGCAAAATGGCAAGTGCGGGAGACTTGATCTCGCCCTCAGCTGAGAACCTGAAACTGGATCGATCCCAGAGTGTCAAGACCCAGCAAGACACTGATAAGATGAGACAGCATGTCTACGAGTTGAGGATGAAGTTTTTGGGACAGGAAATTCCAGCAGTTTATCCCTACAAACTGTACATAGATGGCGAAGGAACAGACGAAAAAGACATGGTTGATGACGAAATTACAGAAGCGAAAAAGTCTAATCAGGTGATTATTATGGCTACTTTTCCAGACGCACATGTCTTATGAGCTATTGCTGTCCAATTCTTTATCTAACCCTTAATGGCCTTAACTGAAACCGTTAGATGGAATTTTTATTCGATTTTGCGCTTATTTTGGTATATTATTCTTCAGGTCTGTCCATTAAATTATGCGGATTTTTAAAGTGTTATTTTAAACAGTTAAAATTTGTTAACGCCCACGATTGTTTTTTTTTTAGTTTGAAGTAGTGCATTTGCACCTTTCTTATCACAATATGTTAATGATTTTTGTGTTGTTATTTAGGTCCAAGCAGGGAACCCGAATGCGCTGCAGAAGACTAAAAAGTCGACAGACAAAGACGCGAAAAAGAACCAAAAAGAGAAAGAAGCAGCGTTGAAAGACAAAACCGCTGGGCCCAAACAATCTTCGAACCCATTTTACAAACTCCTATGCGGAGGCGGAAAATCGAAAGAATACGAAAAAGAAGAGAAATACTAAATAAGAAAACTGATTTTTAAAAAAAACTATAATTACAACTGATATCACTTCCAACTTCCATTTTAGATTATTTATGAAGAGAAAAAAATAGAATCGTACTATTATCTGCACTGCCGATAAACAGCGTGCGGGTTTGATTTTATTTTGGTTGTATTCGGAAATTTGGTGACAGACAATTTTGGTGTGTAGTTTCTTGAGATGATATAATCATCTTTTAAGTCAATTTCGCCTTTTAACTCAGTTTTCTATTTTTGAGTGCAGTAATTATTGTTTTATGGCATTAAGACTCTTTCAAATTTGCAAATCAAAATTTGTTGGTTTCAATTTTAAATATCGGTTAGTCTTGCATAATGTTTTTCATCTCGAATAATATGTTTAGCTACTAGTTTATTTTCGGAAACATAACCGTTTTGAAAACAAAACTGAGAAACCATGAGAGAGGAACAATCCACGTAAGTTCAGGCTGGATGGAAACGTACAATTACGCTATTGGAAAAAATTACGCGCTTGGAAAAGGTTAAATTTTGAAAATTTCACCGTTTTTTGACATTTTTGCTTATTTTTTCCTTTCTCTCAAAAGCTACTCTGCCAAATACGACATTTTAAGTTCAATCGTAAAATCATTGCCTGGCAACCCTCCCTTCATAAGTGGCTCGGCGGCTAAGATGAAACTGTTGGATTTTTCTCCGCAGAAGCAGATACGCATTAATTTTCTTATCAACTGACAAAAACTCAAAATTTTGAGTTTTCGATTGTTTTCGAAAATTTTTCTTCGAAATTTTTATTTTACTTTGAAAATTGCACCGTAAATTCTGAGGTTCATGCTGCAATTGAAATAACATAGTGCAGAGTTCATCCCTGCGTAAACGGTTACTCCCCTTTTTTTGTAGAAAATCCACGGAAAAGTCCTCTTTTTGAAAATTTTAGCGAATAAGCATATTTTCCAATATTCTTCAAAACTGCCCTGCCAAATTTGATGTTGATTTCCTTGAAAAAGAAAAGTACTAAGTATCTTTCCTACATACGCAGCGAATCATCTAGAGTAGAGCAACCACTCAGAATTTAAGTAAAATCAGGTTTTTGAAATTTAAGCGTTTCAACTCGCAGCAATACATTTTAACAGTGAAAATCAAAAATTTATCTCCAGCTTTAGCTGTAACGTAACACTAGTATAAAAACTTGAAGAAGTATGAATGAATGACAAACTGGTTTAACAGGAAAAGACCAATGCAACATTTTCACAGCTGTTGTACCTGTTGAGTTTTTAAAAGCAATACCCAATGTCGTTTGAAGTAAAAACGAATGTTTAAAACGCCGCCTGTTGGAAAAAATTGACTCGTAGTCTCTTTATGCGTTACTCCAATTTCCGATACATACGCAGCAGCGAAACCTTTATTTCAGTAGAGCGACCAATAAGGTTTTGGGTAAAGTCCAGTTTTTGAAATTTAGAAGTCTGTGGGAAGATTATTGCTCTATGTTCTCGAGAACTACACCGCCAAATCTAAAATTTGCTACTCAATCAAAAGAAAAGGTTGCTGACAGCTCAATGCGGGCTCTGCCTAGATTTTTACTTCAAGAGCTTGAACTAAAAACCTTAATGACCATTTTACGGCAAAGTAAAGACCTCAATAAATTAACAAAAAAAGTATGGAAAAAAGCAACAAAAACATTTTAAAAATAAAAAATTGAGAGAGAAAAACTCACCCGCGTTAAAACAAACCGTTTGTTTTGATGCTGATACTCTGTTTCAACATTGTTTTCAAGTTGTCATTTTGTGGGTATTGGGGGTTTTGTGAGTATCGGTTCCAGAGTTTCCAGGGTATCGGGGGTTTTGTGAGCGTCGGTTCCAGCGTTTCATTATTTCAGGTTAATCAATTTTTGAGAGTGAGTTTCAGAAAATAAACAATTTTGAATAACGAAACTCTGGAACCAATTTCCAAAGATAACGACAGGAAAAATCACTCATAAAATCAAAGTAAAACATTTTCCCCGAAAGAAAGTCTAGAAAGCCCAGATTTGCTAAGCTCATGCGCTTAAAAAGAAGAAAGTTCTCTACAAAAACACCGACTAAGCCTCAACGCCCAAACTCGGTGCACGTGATGGAAAAAGCAAATCCTACTGAAACTATTGTCAGCAAGATATTTGATTTTTTTGAAATTGCAGCTCCGATACTCATGATAAGGCGCGTTACAGGTCACACAAATTTGAGGAAAATGGAACCTCTTTGCTTTTGCTCGACGAAAGGCCCACGTCGCGTCATCGAAACATGATGCTCGCCATCAAAATTTTTGTTTTTAACGACTTGCAACCTTCATCTTCAAGGAACAGCAAATCATGTTCACCTTGGCAATTCATTTCTTTTTTAGCTTCACTGTGGGGGAGTATATGAAAGATAAAAAATTAACCGATGATTGTTTCTACACAGTGGTAAGGCCAGACGCTTACAGAATAACCATAAAAAAGAGTTTTTCAAATGCTTCGCGAAAGTACTCTCCATTGCAGTAGTTTCGCCGTTGCCCTAAAAAACATTTTTGTGCTCGGGAGGACCATATTTCGCTCGTGCTACCTCTTATTATTACGACAACTCTTGATCTTCAACTGCTTTCAAAAATCATCTGGTTACTATGATTTCTAATGTTTTTTTTATTTCCGAAATTCTTATTTATAATTATTCTGCGTATTGCAAATTTTCCAATGCTTCGTCTGTTTAAATTTTTCTGCTTTGTCTGTTCAAGTTTTTTTTGTGCAAAAGGACAAAAACGCTTCATAGGCAGACCGATTTGTGTCCCAATCACACCTTGAAATGTCAGCAACGTAAAAACCACGAATGCTACAATGAAAGAGAAGTAAGCAAATTTTTCAGAACATCCCACTCACCTTGCTTTATTCATGATTTTCGGCCATTGCAGAGAAATAGACCGATGTTTGAAATCTGTTTTAAACTCAATTTCTTCATGCTTTAATTCATGCATTTCAGCGGATAAATTAGATGCCCGAATCGAGATGAAGAAATCAAAAGAACTCAGCAAGAGATGAGATATACACTGACTGTCGCTGTTGCCAGTGCGGTTTTGCCAGTAACTATTGATTCATTTGGCCACTCAGTTTGCCCTCCCAACTAAAGATAATTCGAACGACTGCGGGCACCACACGTAAGCAGCTAGATGTTTGTATGCCAACTATATATTGCGCGAAATTTCAAGATTCCTACCTTTTTATCCGGCCTGACAAATGATCAAATGATCACGAGCAAAAACTTCTGTGCGGTGAGCCCAAAATGCTGAGAGTGATAAAAATTATCTTTTGATCAGCCAATAAAACCTTAAAATAATCCCAAAATGTTCTATCAGCTATATTCATTTCATAAGGTATCTGGTATTGCACTAGTTTGCATATACGCCTTCCTTCCCAACAAATCCAAAAATACCTACCATCGTTTTTGCAGATCGACCAAACTGCTGGCTTGAAACAAATTTGTTGAATTTTGAGCAAGCAGTTTTTCAACCTTTCCGCAAAAAATACACAGAGTACATTTATTGGGTTGTTTTTTCCATCTCTCACAAAGTTACCTGTAAAAAAATCAATAAACTGAGTCTCAAAGTCAACTACAAAACAAATAACGATTTAGCGTTGGCCTTAAAAAAGCTGCCTTCCCTTGCATTTGAAAAAAATATCTGCGATTCATATGATTATGTTGTTCCAGAAATTCAGAACATATGCGACAGAATTGTTCAGACTTTGAAAAAAAAAATTGTTGAGTAACATCTATACTTCATTTCTACCTGCATAAAAAGCATGGTCCCATCCTCCCTTTAGAACCAGCGAGACCCGGCCGTGATTGGGATTGCTAGGACAAAAATTGCTATCGAATTTTGGCAATTTGGCGTTCGATCATTTTTCAGTGGAGCTCATCCTTGTAATTAGAAAGTAGTGGGCAGCCTGCAAAAAGACGCCTCTGTACAAAAACTATTTTTCTTATCAACCGAGTCCCACAAATTCACGAAGAAAAACTACCGCGAATTAAAGGAAAGAATCCGAAACTTTATGTCCGTTTACGAAGACAAAACTCATATGTAATTTTGCAGAGCATTATCTAGTTTGTGTTAAACCAGTTGATTTTTTTGCTTAATGATTTGATGTTTTTAAATTCAAGTTTTACTCCCACTCAAAGCATGTTCAATTTTTGTTTGAAAGAAGTTTTGTTGCAGTCTCCCGAAAACGTATGCAATGGAAAAACTTGATTCGTGTTGTAGCAACTCAATCCCATGACAATAGATTTTTTTTGCGATCCTAGGTTAAAACTTGGCTAACAAATCTTTTAGCTTTGCTTTTATGTGCCAACAATTCAAAACAAGCTCAAAAAAACAATTGTGGTAGAAATTTAGGCTCAAGAATTCTTCTAAACTCGAATGATTTTTAGCTTTATAGAAATAATGGAATCTTCAAATTTCTCTGCCGGCTGAAAATGTCTGAAAAGTCACTCATGTTTTTTTTAGTAAAAAAAACTTTAATTAGTCGCGGGTTTTTGGAATTTGTTAAAAGAAAGCTCGTTTTTGGTTCGAATCATTTTAACAATCCAAGTTATCTGCAAAATCATTTCCATTCAAAGGTTACGCGAGTTAAGTTGCGCGAAATTATCTGGCTTTAAAAGAACAAATTTATCTTGCTATATTCTTTGATCTTAAACGAATTCCCCCTGAAGTAAGTTCTTTTTTCATTTTGGAATAAAACAGTGTCAAATTAGTAAAACAACTTTAAAATGCAGTAGTTTTAAATTGCTAAGGCAACGAAAAGTAAAGGATTTTCAGAAAATGCTAAGGCATTTTCAGAAACTGATATGTATATTTGCACTGATGGTTTTTTGAGTTTTCCATTAAAAAAGCTATAATGTTACATTTTTTTTCCAACGACGAATTGCAAACAAATTAACGCTCCGGGTAGTTTTTCGATGCCCTGCTTTTCACTCCTGAACTTATTAACCCTCACACAACTTTATAACAAAGATTTATTTGCCACAGTATATTTTTACGCCCTCAAAACACTTTACCCCGCTATAAACTAGTACTTAACAAAGCCAGTAATTTCAACCAACTTTTGTTAACTACTTTTTGTTATTGTACTTTTTGTCATACTTTATCTTTATTCTTCAAATTTTTTACCCCCTCAAAACTTTCCATTACCGTTTAACCCGTTTTTAACATCAAGTTAATCCTCAATCTAAACGTACGGAAAATTAAACACCGCGATAGCCGCATGAAGTCAAATTTTGCATAAACAAGTTTAAATAATTTTTCTGAAAAAATTTTTACGATCTATCTTCTTTATTACAGTCATTTACACTAAAAACAGTTTCAATAAGAAAAAAATTGTCTACAGCTCAAAAAAATCTACGGTTTTGCAACTAAGCCGACAAAACATATACAGATAAACATTAAGTTGACAATTTTTACTTGTTCAAATACAGGTCTAGGCATGTTCAAAAGTAGAAGTTTCACCGTCGGAGGCGTATTCGGAAGAAGAAGTAGTCTTTAGATCAAGTATTCCGAAGAAGAACACTTTGAATTTTCAATTCATTACAAACCAAGCTATCAAATGATTTAAGTAATTATATGTCAGACTCAAACTAAAGTTCATTTTTCTAACAGCGGCATACGGGATGCCGTTTTTTCTTTTTCCTCGTTTCTCTGACTTTCTCTTTTGCGGCTGAAAGAACTCATCCTCCAAAAGTATATTCCACTAATTGCTCCTGCAGTTAATGTCAAGCAGCACATGACGAGAATAGAGTTGTAAAACCCAACAACACCAACCAAAAAACCACCGCAAACTGCATTTCCACAAAAAAGGCCAGAGCTGATGCAAACAACGTACATGGCCGATGCTTGACACGTAACATCTTCGTCATCATTGCGAACACTTGCCTGATAAACTTCAATTATTGTAGGGATAAATGTTGCAAAAATTGCAGCGCATGAACAACTAATGACAAACAGCAAAATTTCGAGTATAGTCAAGCTGAATGTTGAATCGTCCAAAAATCGTAAAAGGTAGAGGATCGAATAGCCCAATGTGGTCACGAAAACCCCCACAAACTGATAAGTTAGGACGCCAAACCCCTTGTCAACGAGGTAACCATATAAGGGAGAAATAATACCACGTCCAAGTGATAAAGGAATCATGAACAGGCCAGCTCTGGAGGCGGAAATGCCGTACTTTTCTAGTAAGAAAGGCGAAAGTGCCGACATAAAGAAACCCATTGTCGCTATGGGCAAATTGGAAGAAAAAATGATGACACAAACCCCAGGATCTTTCATGAAATTGAAAGCGAGTCGAGCTGAAAATTTGTCATTTGTTTCAGCTTTTGATGTAGTCGGTTCTGGTTTAGGAATAATGAACAATCCGATAACTGCTAAAATTACACAATAAAAACCAACCACCCAAAATGGCAGCGTGTAACCACCCCAAGAGTAGAGAACACTGCCCAATCCCGGACCCATGACACCGCCTACTGTCATGGCGGCCGTGAGATAGCTGCAGACACGACCACGCATTTTCGGGAAAAGTTCTACGAAGATAGGCACACCCGAGGTAAAATTTACACCGACCCCGAATCCAACCGCAAATCTTAGGATCATGGCTAAAGGTATGTAAGCATAATTGTTGGTAGGAAATAAAAAGTTTAGCAGGCCTAATAAAATCTGCGAGAAACCTGTCAATAGCATGCCAGAAAGAGCCAGAAGTTTCTTGTTTCTAATTGACAAGAGAAATAGAAATACCAAAAGTGCGGATGTGACCTCGCCTACTGGACACAAGCCAAAAATAATTCCATTCACGGTCACTGACACACCTCGCTTTTGGTGGTAGTTCGGAAGGAATGGGCTCATAAAGTAATCGTTTAGTCCCGGTACTGTGTTCATGCCCATACCCACAATTAGAATAACCCATTTTCTACTGTAAGAAATGTCTTCTGCAGCCATTATGAATTCTTTAACTGAATATTTTAGTCATATGCGTTGAAGTAAAATTTGAATTACCCAACGAAATGCTGTTTATATGTTTTCAGTTCATGAAACGCACTGAATAAATTAAGTTCACATATAGACTGGTTAGAGACGTATCACATTGAAAAGAAATGGTATAATAATGAAAATGAGATACTGCTCTTTTCTTACGTCAGCCAGATAAGTCATAAAAAGAAGAGAAAGTTCAATCAAAACACTCCGTTCAAGGCACGCTATCGAAGCTTCAAGTTGTTTAATCAACGGGGACTTACCTTTTGAAAGTCTTCACACGACATCTGTTTCTCACAATCCAAGATCATTGTTACCAAAATCTGTAATCTTCTAGATTAAGCTATAGCAGGAACCATAACATTCAAATCTATCTGTTAAACTGGAAAGTTCGAGCCTTATTAACTCCAATTTGACATTTTAAAAATCACATTTGGCTCGAATGTTTTTTAATTTACTAGAAAAAAACCATAAAGTTCAAATCTATCTGTTAAAGTGAGTTAATGAGAACCTGAAAAATGAGAACTGCAGTGTGGGGCCGAGATTTTTCGGTCCCTATTTAAGTTCACGGTCGCAAATTGCAACGGTCTAAAATTGCAATTTGAACGCAGTATGGTCACGGAAAAGGTCGCGTATCGTTACCTCATTTTTTATGTTCCGATCTTTTGAAAAATGTAGAGGAACTTTGTCTTCGGGTGTGTTTTTTTTTTTTTTTTTGGTTACCACCATTGAAAATGGGGAGGAGCTTTGTCTTCGGGTGTGTTTAGTTTTTTTTCTTTTTTAAGCTTTTTGTTTTCAACGCAAAATCAGGTACCTCAAATAATCATCGGTCTGGGTCGGGTGATATATCATATTAAAGCCTTTTTGAGCCCTTTGAGTCTAATTTCGAGCGAGTGAGTAAATTACGTTAGCTTACTTATGCTTAAATTAAGCCTTGAAAAGGTAGTTAGTTTTACTCAAGTAGATTTAGTTTCTGGAGTTTTTGGTGTCATTTTAGGACTTAAAAAGTTTAAACATTCAAAAAAACTTTGAAAAAAAAATGAAAATTTTTTTAAAAAGTTTTCCAAAATGTTTTTTAAAATTAATTATGATTTTTCTTCGTTTTCTACTAATTTTTCTACAAAAATGGAGTTCCAATTGGCCTATTTTACTATGTCTGCCGAATATTCCTAAGTTCATTTTATCACACCACGCGCAGAAACAACGACACCAATTTTAAAAAAGCTTTTTCATATTTTCTAAGACTATGGTCGGAACATACTGTACTAATTGCACAGTAACCAGCTATCTTTGTTTCTTTTTGTTTTCAAGGCAAATTTAAGTGCCACAAACATTCATCAAACTGAGTTGGATTATATATCATATTGAAGCTCTTTCGGTCGTAATTTGAAAAAAAATAGAAAAAAATTTGAAATTATTTTTTCAATTTTTTTTTTCGTTTTTCTAGTCATTTTTCTGCAAAAACTGGTTTTCAATTGACTTGTTTGACTATGATTGTCAAATATGCCTAATTTTGTTGTTCAAATCTGTTATCCATATCACAAAGAAAAAACCACGCTAAGAAATTGAAAACAAAAATTGTATATTTTTTAAGACTGATAGGAACATTCTGTGCTTTTTGCACAGTATACGGCTATCCTAGTTTAAATTTTAGATAGTTAACTGAGAGTTGATTACTTCAAAGTAAAAGTTTCAGGTATATCATTTAAAATTTTGAGATTTACGAGCTCCCGACGAAGAAAAAAAGAGTTAGAGTAAGAGAAGTTTTTAGAAAAATTGATTGTCAATTTAATCATAGGCGGATTTAGGGGGAGGGGCGGTGGGGCGGACGCTTCCTTTCCCCCCCTCAGGGATTCGACCCCCTGCCGACCCAAAGGGTCCCCCCTTTGATACTTTTTCAGAAATCCATTTTTGGCCGACCGACCCTAAAATTTTTCTAAAGGCGCCTTTGGCGCCAATATATACTAACTTTGAGGGGGAGCGCGCGCCAAAAAAACGCGATTTTTATCTCAAAATTTTTCAAAAAGTGCCCAAAAACGGCTTTTTTGACTGTTTTTTACCAAAGTAGAGGCAAAACAGTGCTTTGGGAGAGCTCGAAAAATCAATTTGGTTGACCTAAAAAAAAGGTCGTCTAAAAAAAAGGTCGAAATTTCGGTCATTTTGAATCGCTCGAGGTACGAGATAAGTCACATACCTTGGCATGGATTTCTACCGACTTAATCCAAAACGGCTAGATTTTGACTGTTTTGTCTTAAATTGCCATCTTTCTATCGAATCTAAAAACACGCGTTCAAATGTGTTCCACTGAACTGATTTATTATCGGAATAATATATCATAAATTGAACCTCTTATTGGGGGACAGCTATTTGAAAATATACCATTGTCAAAAAAATTTCAACAGTATTGAAAATAATTTTAAGGAAGCAAATTTCGTTTCAAAAAGTAGCTGTTTTCGAAAAAAAACTTTGAACAAAAAACAAGAAACACCTAGTTAATTAAGTTATCATTATATGTCAGATTAAAAAAAAACATTGAGAGATGTATGCCAGGGTGTGATTATCATAAGCCAAGCATTTTTTTAGTTAAAGACAATTTTGTCAATTATAAGAAATGTTTCACTAATTTGAACTTGCATATTTCTGAAGTACGTCTGTGGTGCTGCTCTTCAGTTCGATTTATGAAATATTCCATTTGAAGTGTCAGTGTACTTTGGCAGCTTCCGGGCTGATATTAATCCATCGAAATTAGAACATTCCACACCTGGTAATAAAGAAGGCCAAAATCTGGACAAACTGAATACAATCATCAATGTTTGGCCTTCTCTGTCCGCAAACTATTCTGAACACTGCTTTTCTTCTTGCTTATTAGACCGACCATTTGAAAAAAGAAGAGGAATTTTTGTGTTCGGGTGTTTAGTTTTTTTCTTTATGTTTCGAGCATTGTAAATGGGAAGGAATGTTGTTTTCGAGTGTTTTTTAGTTTTTTTTAACGCGAAGTCGGGTACCACAAAAAATCATCGGACTGGGTTGATTATATCATAATACACTCTTTTCAGCTGGAATTCGAACGAAGAAAAAATTTTTCAGTGTTGAGATTTTTGTTTTTTTTTTGTCTTTTTTCGAGTGAGTAAAGCGATCGAGTAACGTTCGTTATGTAATAAATAACAATTTGGGCTGAAAACAATTGAATTACTGACAGAAAAATTAGTTTTTGAAGCTTCGCTTAGAGCTTCTCTGGCACAAAAAAAATCCAAAATTTTTAAAATTTTCAGTGCAAAACCTTGAAATTTTTTTTTTAAATGTCTTCTGAAAAACATTTTCCATGACTTTTTTTGCTTAGATATGTTTTGAAAACGATTGGAATCGTATATGCCAAATTTTTTTTTTTAATTTTTACGCGTGTGTATAGTTCTATCCGTGTGTATAAAAACTTCATTCAGCAAAGGAAATGAAAAAAAAATTGAACTTTTTTAATTTATTTTTTTTTCGTTTTTCTAGTCAATTTTTTTCAAATGTTTTTTGTCCAATTTGCTTACATTACCATGACTGCCAATATGCCCAAAATATAATTATACGTCATATCCTATATTAACTTGAAAACAAAACTTTTTTCGTAATTTTTTTTAAAAGACTATATTCGGATCATTCTGTGCTACTTGCACAGTAACCCGCTATCCTTGTTTTATTTGCTTGCGCCTGCACTGGTAATTGTGTTCATATTCATCTGCCATTAATTTTTTTTATCATATTTAGAACAAAGCATATATAAATCTTCCATACACTATGCTGAATTAAAATTCGATTTTTCTTATGAATTTTGACAAGTTCGGTGACAAATGTTAAGTTTTTTGTCAATATGAAAAATAAATTGTGTCGTAACATTTTTGAAACTGTGAAAACTGTGGAAACTGTTTAATTTTTACGTCGAGCTAATTGCTCTTTAAACACTAAATTAGCAGAAAAACAAAATCGGGCATTGCAAAATTCTACTACAAAAATATTTTGATTTTTTTTTCAGAATCTGCAGTGAAAGTCATGCAAAAATGGTTGTAGTGTCGAGATAATCTATAATAAAAAACTTAGCTTAAACTATTCAGAGGAGATTGAGCGATGAATGAATGAATTGAAATCAAATGCTTCAACTTCACTGAGGTATCTACAGTGATTTTTCGACAAGTTTACCATTACGTTATTTGGTACAATTAATTTTGCTTTGACGTAAAGTTAATATTTCTGCTCCCATTATTGAAAATAATTAGAAATTTCAGATATTTTGATTTGTTATAGAAAATATTTTTTAAGGGTCAGAAAAAAATTGTTTTTAATGGTTGATGAATTGAAAAACGTTTTGCAAATTTCACTGCGTTAACCAAGATAGCCTCGATGCACTGTTTTGGTTCAATTTAGTTGAAAGTATTACGTTTGCGATTAGCAAGCATTGTCAAGTCCGAACATGGACTTTTTTTGGGTTAACAATTTGTTTAACAGAATCGTTTGAATCACCTGGTTTCTTGGTTCATAATGAATTCAAAAATCGACGCGTCTCCAGCATACTTAGTCTGGAGACAACAAATGCGCTTGAAACGGCAAAGCAAAAGACCTCGGTTCGAAGGTGACCAGTGCCTGGAAACAATCATCAGAAAGGGTCGAGAGTATCCAATGAAAAACAAAATTTCAGCCATGACTCGAGTAAATATTTGAACAGTTTTCTCAGTAATGAGAAAAACCTGGATTAAAAATTTGATTAAAATTTTTTATTTGACATTCGAGGGAAAAGAGCGAGCTAGCAGGCATACAACAGCTTATGTTTATTTTAGGCCCTGAAAACTTACTTTTAGACATGTGAAAGAAACTTTTGGATTTTTTAGCGCCATTTTTGAAAGTAAAAACTTCATTCAGCAAAGAAAATGAAAAAAAAAAACTTTTTCATTTTGTTTTAACTTTTAAAAGTAAAATAAACTTTTTTAATTTATAAATTAAAAAATGAACTTTTTTTAATTTATTTTAATTTAATCCAATTTGCTTACATTACTATGACTGCCAATATGCCCAAAATATAATTATACGTCATATCCTATTATAACAAAACTTTTTTCGTAAATTTTTTTAAAAGACTATATTCGGATCATTCTGTGCTACTTGCACAGTAACCCGCTATCCTTGTTGTGTTTGCTTGCACCTGCACTGGTAATTGTGTTCATATTCATCTGCCAATAATTTTTTTATCATATTTAGAACAAAGCATATA